TATTTTACCCACAAGGAAACTAAGATCTTAGGAGGACCAAGAGCCAAAAATTAGTCATGCTACAAGGAATATCAAAATAATCTGGCCTGCTAAAAATAGAATGAGGGAGAAAAAATTGTAACATAAGTACATGATCTTTGAATAGTTTCACACCTGCTAACTAAATTGATATGCCACACATGAATCAAAATTCATCTCATACTAAAATAGATAGTATTAACTACTGTCATCAATAGCAGACAAGCAAATTTGTTCTCATGAGTTAATATGACATTATTGATAGGAGTAGCCTATGTTAAATTTTGTTGAGAGGAAATATTTGCTCATAGGTAATGTTATAGAACCTAAATAGGTAATCTTTTTTTTACTTTTTACTTTTAAACCTGTAAAATAAACAGAATTTAAATGATATTTTTTCAAACTATAGAACATCTCAGATTTCATAAGTAAGCAGAATCTTTATTTCTAATTTAAACCATGATACCTGGCCAGTAAAGTCATGCTAAAAATAGAATGATAGCATTTTCTTAATGGCCATCAAATAGAAGTAAATAATTTCTTTCTTTCTTGACTTTGACCCATTCTGTCCAATTTTTCAGAATTTTTCCATATAAGCCATATTGTACATCATTTATAAGATAAAGAATATGAATTAGTTCGGTGAGCAGCAAAATAGACTCAGTTTTTGTGAAACCTGATTTGTGTTAACCTGAAATCAAATCTAATCTTCATTTTAATATTTCTACAACCTTATATTGTTATGAACCTATCCTTAACATGAGTCTGAATTTGTTTCTTTCCTCCCTTACTTCTGTGAAATGCAGAAGGAAAAGGATATTTGTTATTCACACATTTGCACCCCACCCCCACTAACTGGTGTTACACATCTGGCTTCCACTGGAGAGCCCCTGACATCGCAGGGAACGGTGATCAAAATTCCACACATTAGCTTCAAGCTGGGGGCTCGTAGCTACTGCAGCATTGAAAGGGACTCTTTTCCTGGCTTCTTTAAAATAAGCATGGTGATGGGATGGTTTAAGGGAAGAACACCTCTCAAATCACATGATCACTGCTGTGCTTCTGTGTGTCCTGCTTTCTTCATAACAGCTTGGCACTACATTCTTTCCCTGTATCCTCTGGGCTTGTGTGTGTGGATGAGTGGGATGGGGACGTGGGGAGGTAGATGGCTGGTGGTACATTATGCATGCATCTTTCACCATTAGAGTGATGTGCCTTCCCTTATCTGTCACAAATTATAGTCACATTAAATCTGTGTCCTGAGAGATTGGATTGTCTCTCCCTTTTGGTGTGAGATTTATATGTTTTGGTGTGTTTTGATGTTTACACCCTTTGTTATTCTTCATGTTGCATTAAACATAAGTTGAAATGTTCTCCCATAAGAGTTAGCTTTTCATGTTGGGCTGAAAAAGTCTTCATCTCTGTATAGCAATTTCATGTTATTATAACCTATGGCTTTCAATTGTACCTCCCATAATGAAGAGCTGACTTTAAACACTGTGCTATTCTTGTTATGACCTAAGCATAAGGTAAGTGATTTCTCTAACTGTATCTAACGATTGTAATTGTTTCTTAAAATTTCTCAGCTTTTTAAAGGCATTTTCACTTTTGTTCCATACCATTTATTACGTGATTTTTCCCTCTTTTGTTTTCTGTTTCATATCTTAAAGGGCAATGTGATCTTCAGCAAAAATTATATTACACATGTAAACACATGTTGAAATGAATAACTTGATGTTTCAAAGCAATCTTGACTTGTAAATGAATAATTATGTTTTAGTAAGTCTCATGTTTTTCATTTCCTCCATTGACTTTAATATATTATTTATACATGTTATTTTAGTTTTGATTCCAGTTGAAAGGGGAATTATGTCAGTAACATAAAGTCAGTCAAATATTAACTGTAGTAAAATAACATGACCCAATAGAATAAAGAGGTGGATAATCTGATGTCCTTCATTTAATCCTCCACTTTAATCCCTGACAAATTTCATATTAGCTCAAAATCTCAGTTTATTTTGTTTTTCAGACATTTTTTCCCCACTGAGTAAAGCTAGGTAACAAAAAATAAAAAAGCAACAAACCATAAAACCTTAAAGCTGAAAAAAAAAACATAAAACTTAAGACAGACTTCCTTACATATGTGAGATTAAGCAGAACAATCTTATTAAGTAAATATTTATAAATACGAGTTTCATAATACAAAAAGAGGCTCATTCACTGTATACATAAATAGTAAAGAAAGTTTTTAAAAAATTATTTCCTCAGTGATATATAGTTTTTTTCAAGATCACTAAAATAGAGAAAATCTCATAATCATTGATTTTAAAAGTGATTCCCTCAAATCTGGTTCAAATAGCTAATGTAACATAGATGGAAAAACTGGTTATACCACTGTTGGCAGTTTGCAAACCTTGATAAATGTTTCTGTGCAGGGAATTGAATTGCTTTCATCATGCCACTGTCTCTTCCAAAGATGTTTGAAATATTGTTCTAAACCAGGGTATCACAAAGTAACACAGATTTCTTTATTAAATTCATGTTATGAATGATTTTCTTGTTAATTTCTTAAGCCACCTAGGGAGGAGAGAGGGTGTTTTTTTGTTTGGTTTGCTTTTTGTCTTTTGTTTTGCTTTGGTTTTTAACCAGCTGATTTTTCACCATCATTTCCATTATATACATTATCTAATGTATATAAGAGACATTATGTAAATCTATTGGAACATTTTATGAGACAATTTAAACTACTCATCTGAACTGCTCTGTTCATTATAAATCTCTTGTTTCTATCCATACACTAGCTCCACTCTAGATTGGAAGGGCTTAAAGATGAACTCTGGAGGAGTAGAGGCTACGACTTAAGAGTAACTATTACTGATCAAAGGAGCTACTTTTCCATTCGCAAACACTGCTTTGCGCTATGGGTTTGGGCTCCTTCTGTTTTACATCTTGTTGGAGACTTTCTTGACTTCCATTTGACTTTTTTGAACTCTTGTTTCTGTCTTTCAACATTTTCCTTTCTTTTCCCTCTTTCCCAGATTTTTCTCCACACTTTAAGCTTTCTCTTGTGTCCTTTAAATCACTTTTCAAAACGCAATTTTTCTTTTTAAACTTGTCTATTAATTTGTCTGTTAATGTGTTTTTCTTCTTTAAGACTGTGGTAGTGTAACTTATTTTCATTCCACAGTATGCCAGCTTGCTTATTTATTTTGCAGCAAGTTCATTAGTCATTCTTACCCTCTTGGTATAAATTTTTAATATGAATTATAGAACATCCTCCATTTGTACACTGTCCCCTTCTGTAAGCTCATAGTTTCTTTTCTATCACCTAAATTTGTTCTCTGAACCTCTCCCTTTTCCTTTTATTGTCCTTATTCTTATGTCTTCTCTATATTTTTTTAAAACAGTCATTAGTTTATTTCTCATTTGGCTCAGAATTGTTCTTTAATCAGATTTCCAAGTAAAAGAAATAAGAATTTTTTTATCTTCAAAATTATCTTCTTCAGTCTAGTGTACTTAAAACTACTTGAACAACTGGGGCAAAAGAGAATAACTTTTAACATTTCCCTTTTTTTTTTCTCTTTGGGGTATGTGTGTGTGTGTGGTCCCCGGCCCCTTGTCAGTATGTTTGTGACATTTTTATTGTTATTTATTTAAACATTAACAATTGTTTTTTTCAGGAAAGGACAACCATAACCACCCTACGTTATAACATTCCTTTCATAAGTTGTTTCATACAACAGTAGATTGTGTTGAGCGGTAGAAATTAATTTGTATATATGTCCATTCGGGGCAAGCTGCTGTGGAGTGGGAAGAAGAGGTGTGGAAATTAAATATGTTTGTGTCTAAAATTAACATAAATGCCATCCACCATGGTCCTTGAATACAACTTTTACAACTTCTAGAAAAATGATCCACTTTGACCTAAATATTTGAATCAGAGCATGAGGGTTTCTGATTGATAAATTATATACGCACCTAACAACTGATAAATAATGAGTTCTGTTTCATTGATTTTTAACAGACATATCATTCATAACCAGTATAATTATAATAAATTATTATAATCAGTCACAAAGGTTGTTAGAATTCATGGTAAATATTTTATATGAGAATTTCTCTTTCTCCTCTCATAGCATATATATATAGTACTAAAAATGACTACAGTGAAATGTTGGATTACAAGACTATTACTTGAATTTTATTATGATTCTACTTAAAAGATATGTTAAATTCTTTATGATTAAGGGTGTGTATTTACAAGTGAATATACAGTTAGTTGAATTTTTTCCATTTATAATCATCTCTTGGTATCCATGGAGAATTGGTTTTAGGTTCCTTATGAATGCAAGAATCTCGCAACTGCCTGCCTCTCCAGTGCAAGGTCCCAAGTTCAATCCCTGGAGAAAAAGAATAATACAAGAATCCACAGATCCTCAAATCCCTTGTGTAAAATGGCAAAGTATTTGTGTAAAACATCTGTACACCCTTACTTATACTTTAAATTATTTCTAGGTTAATCATCTCTAGGTTACTTATAATATCTAATCTAATATAAATGCTATATAAATGATTGCTACCTTGTAAGGACACCTCCCCTCAGAAAAACTTTGTACAATACAGATGCAGGGTTTTTTTTTTTAATATTTCTGGTCCATACTTCGTCAAATTCATGGATAAATGTGGATGGCCAACAGTTCTGATTTCAAATACACATGATTAAAAATTGCCTTTGGTTTTATCTCTGTCCAGTTTATGATATTGTACCCATAATCTTTTTCATGAAGTCAGTCTTTTTAAGTAAGTAAGGGATGAATTAAAATATACATGAAACAAGTATAATGCATTTTTACTAACATGTTATGACATCTGAGATACATAAAACCTCTGCTCCTAGACCTCAGGAGCTTGCCCATTAAATATGCATATCTGGCTATCTGTATTAGGAGCCCTCAATTACTGAGTTTATGCTCTCTCTACAGGTCCAGTCCAGGTGCAGCAGCAAGGAAAACATTCTCAGAGCCAGTAAGTATTTCATCATTTTAGGTAGGCTGCTGAACTAGAAACTGTGAATCAACAGAAAGTAGGGGGCTGGGGATTTAGTGGGGATCAGTGGCACCATACCTGCCTTATAAGCACAAGGTTCTGAGTTTGATCCCTGGTACCACTAAAAAAAAAAGAAAGAAAGAAAGAAAAAAGAAAAGAAATTGGAGCTGAAGTGAGGTGACATTTTGATGAAGAAGAATGGGGAAATTTTATATAAAGAATATGAATGTTAGGATTTTTACCTAAAAATATTAGTGTCCATATATAGATAAATATTTTCCTTAATTTAGAAGTTTTGCAACCAAGGCTTTGATGCATTCTTGGTAGCATAGAAATTAGCTTTATTATGACTCTGAGACCCCCCCTGTAACTGCCAAAAAGTTATATATATAAAACTTCATGAGGGTACATCTTTATCATTTTGTGTATATGAATGTTCATTTTACCTTCAATTGGCAGAATAAGATTTAGAACATAAATGGATGAAGAATCTTTAATTTTATTTTTTGTTTCATCTTTCATAGTGTTAACTTTAAAATCACTGAACTTTGTATATTATATATTACATAGCATATTATTCATTTTCCTATTTTATAAAAATAAATTCCAAAGTATTTTCCTTATCTGTATCCTTTAATGATATCACATGGAACTATTTCCCCTAAGAGCTTTGTGATCTTAAGAGAGAAGTGCTATATAAATACTTATTATTTTATTGTTTTTTATCACTTAATAGCTTAGTAACATGCTCCCATGTTCTTCCTGATCTTTATGAAGAAAAGAAGTACCAGTGGGACATACTATAATGGGTCTACTGGAAAGCCATACTACTGGGAGTTTTAGTAAATGGAATGATTTATGTTTCCAATAGAATGTTAGTAGTTTATAATAATCAAAGGGTAACTGGAGAATTGCAATTAAATAAAATCTATTTTTTATTTTTCCCACTTCTGTTTTCTAAATCAGTTAAGTCAGAACCCTTGGTCAGGCACACTGCAGTTGTTTGCCCAAGACCTATATTGGCACTACGAAATACTAAATACATATATACATACATACTGAGAGGCATGTATACTTTCAAAAATTTCTGTATCATTTGACAAATGTATGAATCTGAGCAAGGCTCTTCAGGAAGGAGATATAAAATCCTATAACCCTTTACTGAGACCTAAAATGGAGAAATCTAAGGGTCAGAGGTATGATAATTCCACATATTTTTCCTGAAATAATCAGTTACTGATATGGATTATGATGATTAAGAACAAAAATGGTTTCTTAATTAGGACAGATTTCTTTGAATCTTTTTTTACTTCTATCATGGTTTGTTGTATGGCTAGAACCTTCTTTTAGTTATTTTATAACTGGCTTATTGGATAATAATCAACTTGTATGGATATCATGCTGATCAAATTGTATTGATCCTGTGTTCTTATGGTGACACAGCTCTATAGATGGCCTTTATTGTCACATATCATAGTTTTGTGACTTCTATAAGTTTATGATCTTTCCCATCAATGCCATATTAATAACTTATACTCAGGCCATGGCCTTACTAAGGATCGAAGACCATAGAGTGTTCTTTCTCTGAACTTTTTAACTAAAATCCCCCATTGATTATTTAGACCATTTTGATCTATTTTTCTTTTTTGCCGTATACTCCCATGTCATTCTCTCAATTCTAAACCTTGCCTCTATTTCTTCAAACACTTACTTCCTTACTCCAGCCCCACCTCCACATAAACTTTCCATTCCCTTGTTTTACCAGAAAGCTCTTATCCTTTAACTTACTTCAGGTATGATTCCTCTGAGTTCTCTTTAGGCAACACAAATGAAACTGTAATTGTCTTTTTAATGTATTTAAAAATGTAACACAATATATCTGGATTCAATAGAAAAGAGAAAATTTAGAACTTAAATAGAGCTTACCTAAATTGTCCAAGGAAGAGGTAACTTTGGTTATGTTGTCAAAGGAAAAAATAACTTTGCTTGGATTCATTAAAAATGTCATCAAAAACAACCTGTTAAGCTTCAACAAACTCTTCATCTCAGAGTCTCAGGAGGGAAAGGGCAAAATCAGGATATATTTGAAATTTTAAAGTTTGATCTAAAACACAACAGTTTGATTACAACTGAATAAAAATGATATAATGTTTTAAGACTGATGGATATAGCAGGGCAAGCAGTTTGTAGAGTGTTGGTACATAAACTCTATCTAAGCATCTTGTTCTATGAGTTTCTAGGATAAACAAGTTATTTACAATTTTTATCTTCAAGGGAAGAGTTTTCTAGTATAGTAAAGTTGTTTCGATATTTTTAAAAGATAGAGGAATGGCATTATTATGCAAATTAAGATACTGAGCTGTACAGTTACAGATGGTTTCAGATATCAGGGATCCCTAATGGTCATTCTTCAGCTTTCACTGAAAGATAAACTATTAGTATCTGGGGATGTGATCACTCCAAATCTCCACACCTACTTGAAGTATCAAAATAGTATATCAGGTATCTAGAGGAAGTTGTCCCAGTATCGTTTTCTAGTTTGGTTGTTATTATTGGATATTCATTTATAGATTAATTTGATGAGACAACAGCTATACAGCAGCACTTAGAACTCAGTTGTGCTACCCACATATAAAAAGGCTTATCATCAGAGGTTATGCTCTTTTTCTTAGTTAAGAGCCACAAGTGTCTAAATCAAGCCAAGATAATAGATACCATCCCCATTATAAGAATAAGGATAGAATTAGATAAAGGATTATTGGCCAAATTACTTAATTTTATAATTTGTTTGCTGAATCTTTTTAGCAATATAAAAGATCTGAGAGAAGGTTAACAGAGATGTAAAAATAAAATCCCTAAAGCAGTAGATGAGCCACACATTATTCCTCAAGAGTCAATGTTGTATCTAAAGCCACTGAGCCACTGCTTTTCTATTCTTATGAAGCTTTCAAGTAGAGTTCTTTAGGCCTGCTGGAAGTATCTTAACTCACCTCTTCTAGCCTGAATCAAAGCTTGTGGAACCTCCCTGCTTTCTAGGGAATTTTGACAGAAGAGGCACAAATCTATAAATTGCTTTGGGTAGTATTGCCGTCTTAACAATATTAAGTCTTGTATCCTAGCTTCCATTTACTGTTAGCATGAGGCTCACTCTTACATAGCAGGTATTTTTACATTTTCACAATATGGTAGACCAAATCACATAAATGTCTGGTAGAGGTTCCAATCACAGGTAATATGTATATTTCTTTGTTGAGAAACTTTTATCACACAAATCTCTCTGGCATTTTCTTACTTAAAAGGTGAAAAAATATCTTATCATACCATTGTTAAATTTGAGATGAGCATGAACTACTATGCTGTACTCCATGCATTTCTCCCAGATTGTTTCTCCAGCCAGAATTCAGGGCCATTTAAGCCAAGCTGTGTACCAGTCCTGTAATAGGCTACCACACAGCCATCAGCAGAGGTCAGGAGCCTGTGCCCATAGTATACCTGACTTCCATACAAAGCTTCATGTCATATCAGTGCCCAAGTAGACCCCAATAAAAGGATCTGGGGGTCAAGTTTTAAAACAAATTAAACTGGTTTTGATGCTTTCATATTACTGCCTTTGAATTCAGAGATAATTTTTGTGAATTGGGGATATCATTCAGTGGTAGAGTGCATGTTTAATAATATGTGTAAGGTCTTGGGTTTGACCCTAGCACCACCCAAGAAGGAGGAGGTCTTTTTTTCTTTTATTAACATGTTTTTAAATTGATACATAGTGATTGTATATATTTATGAAGTATAGTGAATGTATCATTTCAGTACATATATACAATTTGTATGATCAGATCAATGATAATTGGCATATATTTCACCTCCAGGTTAAAGACTTCTTTGATCCACTCTGTGTTGATGTTCTCCATTGCATCTTTTGAATGCACTCTATTCTTCAGTTAAAGAATTTGTTTGTTTGTTTTTTATGATTTTATCTCCTTCTTGAATTCTAGTTCTGTGTATTGTTTTTCTGATTTCATTATCTGTGTTCTCTTCTAGCCCACTAAACTTCCTTAAAAGACTTGCTTTGAATTGTTTTTAAGGCAGAGTATGCATTCCCATTGGGTGGGGTTAATTACTGGAGCATTATTGTGCTGCTTTAGTAGTCTCAAGTTTCCTTGAAATTCTGTTTCTCTTACCTTGGATTGATATTTGCACATTTGATGAAACAGTTACCTCTCCCACACGTACAGACTGGTTTTGAAGGGAGAGACCTTCTTAATTTTTTTTTGTTTTGTTTTTGTTTTTGTTTTTGGTACCGGGGATCAAACCCAGGATCTTGCACTTGCGAGGCAGGCGGCAGAACCACTGAGCTAAATCCCTGGCCCAAGACCTTCTCATGTGGTTGGGTGTGAGGATATGAGCTGGATGGAATGCAGGGCCCAGAGCCATAGTCCATCAACTGAAATCAGCATCAACAAAAATCTCACTTTTAACAGCCAATGCTTTGGGTTCCACAGCAGTGGTAAAGATATTGAGGTCCTTAAAGATTACTGGCATCATCCTGATCTCTTTTTCTCCCACAGAGAATATTTCAGCTTTGGAGATATCTCTTAACACTAAATCAAGCTCATGGTAGCAGTGACACAAGTATCTGATACACAGTGCCCATGGAGTGGCCAGCATCCAGGGTCTGGAATTGAAGTGAAGTACACATGAAGAGATATCAGTTTGGGGTCTGGGTTAATGCTAGCACCAGTACCTAGGAAGCAGGTATCCCAGAGCAATGTTAGTTATGGTGTTTGGGGTTCCAGTATTTGTGGTGCAGTTTTGGAGCTGGGGTCTGGAACAAAGCTATAGAGGCTTTTTTGGATATGTGCATTGTACAGTAACGGTGGTTCTGTTATCCTGGGCAGTAACTCCTAAGCCAGTATCTAGAGTATGCATGGAAGTGAGATATATGAATCTGAGGCAGTATAACAAATAGCTTCTCCTTG